GGGGGAAGAACCGGTGAGACAGAATGGGAGCTTTTCATACAAAGAGAAGAACAAGGTCCCATCTACTGTCTTGAAACCACGCAAGGTAGAAGGAACGCTCAAGACTATCAAGGCATCCTGGAGCCGAGTCCGCGTGTGAGAAAATTAGTTCACAGCTACTCGCCCCCCCCCTCTCCCCACACACACACAATAAACATATCGATAAAAATGGTTAAGAATAAAACTGAATCATTTGGGGGACAATTGTGGCGTTGTCCTTCTTTCACAAAGGTTACAAGCAATTTTGTCCCCTTGTTTCAGAAAGAGATGACGAGACAACTTCTTGACGAGAAACTTCAAATTCAGACAAGGAGAAAAGTAATGAGGCCAAGACAAAGGCAAAAAGTTAAACGAAGAAATTTCCCCCCGCCCCCCCAACCTTAATGATTTCCAGAAGCTGCTGATTCAGAAGAGGCCAGTGAGCAACGACACGGCTCCCTTTTGAAAACTTGACATTTTGCCTCCCAAAATGTCCTCCTTGTCTTGTTTCTCCAATATTGACATTTAGGAGGGAATTCATTGCAAGCGCCGCCGCTCTCATTGTTGCAATCATTCAATTAGGGCCGAATCGACTGTATATTATTAGGATGACTGTTTTCACTCACAAAGGAATTCTGATAATAGCCACCCTGGCATTTATCGGGCGGGGGGGAGCGCCCCATTTAGAAACCATCTTGAAAACTAATTGGGCGAGAAGTGGAGCCCCCATGAAAGGAGAGGTGACGATTGAGGCCCAAGAGTAGCGCTTCATGACAAAGAGCAGAAATTGGACCGATGGACTCCGTTTCAATTCAGCGTCGTCTCCATCCAAATGACATTTTCCAGATCTGCAAATAAAACTCTTGAAATGACTCAATCACAAGATGTTGAGAACACCTGCAGATGAAGACAACTTCAAACTCTTGAGCCGGCTGTCGGCATTTGCAGCTGTTCGGATTTGTTCTAATGAGGCTCCGGATGACAACGTGACACTCATCTATCTCAAAGTAGACCCCCCCCCCCCCCCCCC